TGGAGTGAGAACTCCTTGCTAATCCTACTGCTTCCTTACAAGGCTTAATTGCCCCACAAGCTACAGGAAACAGTCCAGCACACATACAGCCTCACCTAAGGTTTAATCCATTGCATCTGTCCTGGAGCACATCTGGGTTCTGAGGAACCACCTCCACTCTTCCTGACAACCTCAGCTCAGGAGAGTTTGTCACTGCGCAGGCCACGTCTGCACAGATCCCTCAGGTTCTTTGAGCCACAGCACAAGCTAGTCCTCACAGCAGACCCTGGACGTTTGCAAAGCTTATTGCCGAGTTGGAGTCACCAGGATCATAGAACGGTAGTTTTTTATGACTTTACAAATAAGACAGAGCTTTTAACTAGTTTGCTAAGACAATGAACAAGTTATTTCCTTAGGTCATGCAATGTTGTCTGAAGTTAAATTTAGTAGCTTCAGATAAACCACAGTTAACAATGGATGGAAAAACATACTTCTGAGGAATTGTTTTCCAAGAAAATGCATGTAGTAGATGAAAAGGAATATGAACCTCAAACTGCTGTGGTAGCACATCCTCTACAGGCAAGCAGCATGAAAATGAGTAAATTCTTTAAAAGGGGCTGAGGGACACAAAGCTGTACATTGCAGAAGAAAAGACCTGTTGATATGGTTCCTTTTGGCATGTACCAGATTAATCCAGTTCACATTCCTCCCCAATGGTCAGCTGAACAACTGAGTAGGGGAATTAGTTCTCCTTGCCCTCAGAACAACCTAATTCCTCAAGCAAAATGAACAGCCTTAGCTAGGCAGCAAGGCAAATAAAACCCATTCTTTGTAGTTAAGCAAAACTGTGTACCTACAATAAATGACTGTACCATTAAAAATACATTACAAGTAGCATATACACAGACTCTAACACATGTTGAAAATGGACGTGAAAATCCCCCCAGGCTGTCAGCAGCAGAACTAACAAAACATGCGATCTTAAACAACTTGTGTCCCAGGACCTCAGCATCTTCCAAACTGCACGAAGCTCCAGCTTCTAGAAACTGTGACATCCCTCACTACAACACTCACCCCATTTAGTACCAAAGACCACACCTGGGGTCTTCCCTTGGCCCCTTGCTGTATTCCCAGTTTTCACCCTCACTCCCTAGAAGAAGCACTGAAGACTCACCCGCTTCCCACACCACCCCCTGGCACCCAGCACCATGGAACATAGAGCACCTGCGCCAGGTGACCACCTGGCCTCTGCTTTCTGGCTGCTGGATGGCCAAACAAATCAAAAAGTGAGTTGTACCCATGATCCTGTCTGAGGAAGCAGCATAAATCTCTTTCCTCCTCCAGCTGCTAATTAATTGTAAATGTTGTAATATTTTTTGCATAATCCTCCTAGTCTACCAGTTTCACATGATCAGCTAACTTTTGTATTAAAACCTCAACTTCAGTGAGCATCCAAGTCCAAGCTACCCATAAGTTTTGCCCCACCTTTATTGGGAACCTTTCTTTGAAGCAAAATTGATCCTTTTTAGAAGTTATTCCAGTGACTGCCTACTGCATTTCACCACATTACAAATCAGTACCTTTGAAAACATTTGTAATGTGTATTTGACTATCTCTTGTATCTTGGTATAGATACCATGCAGCTCTTGCACAGACCTGGAAATAAGAGACCAAGCAGTAGTTCTGATTTCAGGAAAAAGATCCCTGCTTTGAAAGTTCACAGCCCCCAGAATCAATAAGGCTGACAGTGAATTAAAATTTTCATCTGTTATAGCTGCCATGACATCAGCCACCCATGGTTTATGACACCAGTTTCTTCCAGTGTGAAGCAAGTCTTCCAGACTCTTCTAATTTGTAGACCAAAATAATTTTCAAGGGACTGGACTGTAATATAGTTATGACTGTATGACTCTACAGTTGTCAACAATAAAATGAGGGTGGTATGTTGTTAAAAAGGTATAGCTAGTACAGACCAAAAAATTCCTTAGTTCTAAACACTTTACTACATTTGTAGGCCCTTTGGAGAAAGGCCAGTGAAGAGTTATTCACAGTAGGTTGCATTCTGAAGCACTGTACTTGGTTTTCCACCTCTGAGCAGCAGGAGCCTGGTGGTTCTTGTTCCCCTGTAAACCCATCTGCCTGCACCTGCTCCACGCTGGCTAAGCTGGCTGTGCTGTGTGGGACTGGGAGAGTTTTGTGGTACTCACCAGGTAGGGAACCTTTCAAAGTTTCTTTTGTTATAACATTTTAAGGATACCTTTATATGTAATTCAAATTAGGGTTGCAAGGTAAAAATGGGAAAAGGATTGTTGTTGGTGTGTGGTTTAGGGCCAAGGGTAGCAAGCTTCTGTAGTAACACAGCTTGTTCTGTCATGCAGACAACCAAACTGGCTGGAAGCTGCATGTAGCAATTACTTAGTACTTAAGCTATTCTATGCTGTTATAATGTGGCAGAGGTAGAGCTCTTAGCTGAAACACCAGACACAGAAATCTGCCTCTGGAATAACTGCTTACTGACTTAGTAACAAATTTACTGGTTTTAGAAACCTTTGTCTAGCAAGCCAGCCTCCTCAGCATTTAAATTTCCCTGAGGAATATAGACTGTAAGCCATCTCCCATGCAAGAAGGTGTTAGCAAAAGGGGCAAGGTGCTGAAATCTTAGCAAGTTCTCATAATCCCTCCTTTTCCCAGTGCATATAATGTTGTGGAGTGATGCCCTGAGACTTTTACACTTGCCTTGGGGAATGTGGAATGTTTGGCTGGTATTTGCCATACCATCTCAGAAGCATGCTGCATTAATATTTGAAACAAATAAATGAAGCCTAAAAAGCACAATTATATAAAAAAGACAGGACTGTGAATTTTGCTCAAGTCCATTCTCACTAGTAGGTCTATTGAATGAATGTCACCGTGTAAGGATTTGTTAAACAGTATCTTTAATTCTCAGAGATGTTTTTGATTTCAACAGAGAAAATCCCAAGTAAAATCCACTTGGACAGAAGTAGGAAATTCCCATTCCAAATATAGGCAAGTAGAACCTTTTCTACTGCAATTTAGAAAATGCTTGCTTCAGTCCAGGCATGACAACTAGTCCTAGCTATTTTAGGGGACGATTGGGAAGGTGCAAGGATTTGGATTCAGTGAAATGGTAAATTAAAATACACAACATAAGAAAGTTATGCTAAACATCATGCTTTTTATTTTTTGGGAAAAGAGCAAGAAAATAGCAGTACTTCAACAGACTAGAAAAAGCCTCATCTAAATACCAAAAGCACAGCAAATTATATTAAAAGTGATACATTCTTAAGTCACAGCATAAAGTTGTACATACATGTGTGTATATATTTTTATACATATATACACACAAATGCACACGACTTCTTAAATATAAACGTAGCCATTTGGATTACCTGTGTTTGCCTTATTTATTTTCATTTTGGGTGAGTGAAGTAAATAGACCAGAATTAACACTGAAAAAAGTCCAACCATTGCCACAGACTAGATCAAGAACTTATACACATACACAATTACAGCACAGTCTTTACTCTTGGGGCCTTTAAATTTCACTAAAATAAGCCATTTAAGGTAATGCACAAAAGCTCCACCCTGGAAGTCTCTTGGCTTTTATCACTGCAACATCCCAGCCTTTGCTAAAAACTAAGGGAGGAGCTACCCCAGAATGTGATCTCCGAGTCTTTCTGTAAACTGTATGCATGCCAGACATGAACCATGCAAAAACCCTTTGAGATTGAAGCCCTTAATTCTTAGCTTGTGTCATGATTCAGGCACTGTTCTTTACAGCAATCTGCAGAATTGAAGTTCAGAAATGAAAATTGCATTGGGAGCCGATTTTACTTAAAATAAAGAAGGGTGAAGACTCAGATAGTTGGCAACTCTCATTTTCCAAGCTGATTAAGCATTACATGTACAAGCTATGAAACAACAAAAACTTAACCAAGTGCCTTAGTAAGTTCCAAAAACAAAAATAAGTTATACTTCAAAGAACAAGTTAGTATAAAAACTTTTAACATATGCAACGTATGTGCTCAAAATACTATTTTGCATTTTTAAAAAGAGCTGTAGCCTACCTTACAGAATCAAAGTTCACCCAGTATAAAATATTGCAGTTTGTCCCATTGTGTCATATGAGAGGTCTCCTTATTCTTCATATGATCGAGAACACTTGCACAAGAGTTCATGTTATTCCACGCCACACAGTGGCAGACAGACCATGTCTGAACCTGCGCGCTTACTCTGCGGCGCAGTAAAAGCCAAGCAAAGCATTTCACAACAGTTTAGCAGGTCAAGGAGCCGTGTTGATGCAAAACATCCAGGCAACAGTATAAAAGTTAATGCTAAGTGGCAGTACCAAGAAAGTGAATCAGATCAACAGAAAAATACTGCTGATAACATTCACTATCGCATGTGCGGCTGGTAAGCTAGGAATAAGGAAAGTCAGAAGTAGCTCAAGAAGAAAAAAGAAAAAAAAAAACGTTTAAACTGTGTAAACAATCCACCCAGTACAAAACTGGATATGCAGCTGGTAAGAGCAGAACTAGCTTAGTAGAGCTGAGGATGCGTGCGCATCCAGACGCCTGTTCAAAATGCAATTATCAATGCCACTGACCAAAAAAATACCAAAAATCACCTATAGCTATTTACACCACAGCAGAGGCTTCCCTCCCCCCTCATGGAGTTACTACAACTCAGGAAATCGCTGCCATCTGCTACGATTAAAACTCCAGTTATAAGCTACCAATGTTTGTAAGCTGGAAACACCCACCTTGCAAATTACATTGAAAACTCTTGTCAAGCATGTTTGAAGACTCTTCAAAAGTTAGAGTACAGCACTTTCCTCAAGTGGTATTTGCATGAGTAACTTGTACTGACAGCCTGTTAAAATAAGTGAATTTAACACAACTCGGGGTAGCTAGGTGTTCCTCCTCAGGAAGGGGGATCCATAGATTCCAGTTGTTCTTGCTGAGGTGTGTTACAGGGAGAGAAGGACAAAAGAACCTCGGTCAGCCTGGAGGAGAATCTTCTTGCTTCTAGAAGTATTCCTCCTCTTCATCAAAAAAACCATTTTCCAGGGCGTAGGTGCAGTCCGCGTTAGAGTCAGCCTGGCAGGCACCTTTGTACTCTTGGATCGACTCATAGAGGGAGTACAGCTGGCACAGTAGTGACATGTCTAGCTGCCGAAGGCCAACCTGAGTGGGGAAGGAGTCAAGCAAACAGAGTATTACAACAGTGATTTTACTGGCAGTATAACACTGTGTATCCTTTGTTGATAAACATGAGCATCAAGCTTCTTTCCACCTTGAACAGTTATGAAATATGGAAGTATAATTAGTTTTCTAAGTTGGCAGACTCCCCAAGGGATAAACTGGACAAAAGAACAAGGCACAATGTGATGTGATACAGCAGGACATGAGCAAAGTGTTCTTCAAGATTTTGTTGTAATACAACACCCTGCTTAACTTCCAACAAGCAGTTCACTCCTACCCAAAGCACTACAGATAAACTAATAAACTATATTCCTCATTATACAAGAGACATCCTTTTCCAGTAAGGCTGTGTGTCTTTCACAGGCCTTTCTCACACAGTATCATAGAATGACCTGGACTAGAATTTGCAAAAGGAGCCCTGTCTGGTTTTCCACCTCACAGCTAAGCCTCTTCTACTATAATGTTCTTTTCCATATTGACATACATAGGCATCTGACAAGGCTTCATACGTCCAGCACAATACAGCACGCTACTCTAAGGTGGGAAAACTGAAGCAGGACTAAGATAAGGACATACATTGTAGCCTGCAAATCTTCAGAGATTTTCATGTGCTACTCAAGCATAAACTTGATTTATAATTAAGCACCTAATATTTTGGTCCACAGACTTCTAAAATATTAGTTCCAGAGCTAATTGAAGATTTGGAGCAACATTTTAAAAACATTACCTTGTAGTCTGCATCTTTATGTCGGATACAAAACCCGTACGTTGCACCACAAAGCAGAATAAAGCTACTCATTTAACTCGGAGCAGTTTCCCTCTCTGGCAGCAAAACTGAGAGTTCATTTGATATTGTCACCTATCCAAGCCAGATCAAATTAAATCTAGGTTTTGTCTTGCAGTAAATTAAAATCACTAACAAATGTAACATTTTCAAGATGCAAACATTTCTGCCTAAATTTTCAAGTAAGTGTTAAGCTGACAAGCTGTTCCTAGTGAACCACAGTGTCATCAAGTGAGAGATTTTGCTGTAACTCACATTTAGAGGAAACAAAAATAACTAACAATGTAGCCTTTACAGCAGCATGAACATCAGGCAACATTTTAGCCAGAATGAGAACTCTTACCTCAAAAAAAAAAACCAAACAACTCTTTATATGTCTAATGTCTAAGGACAGGTACACACAGGCCACAAGGAAACCAAAGGAAGATCTTCATGCTAGCTTGTGGCATCGCTAAACTATCCTACCAGCAACTTTTTCTGAAGAATGGAAGGAAGAGGAAAAAAAACCTAAGTATCCAACCACACCACCATTCAACCCAGAAAAACAGAATATGGCATCTTTGAGAACCAACACCAATTCCTTGATGAGGTCATGAAGCTGAGACACGATGTCCCTCACAGATGGAGCATGAGGACTTCCAGACAAGACATGGAAGAAGATGTGGAATGCTGTGCTAACTGCCAGGAGGCTACAGAGGCTTAAGCACAGACTCTGAAGCCTTTCCACCACCTTGGATCTACGCAGCTTTTCTTGCCCATCTCCATTTTCCTCTGTAGGGAACATGACAACTTCCTCTCCCCTTGTTCAAGCAAACGCTCTACAGGAAGCGTTCACTACTCATCCTTGCTCTGTTCTGCAAGGGGACACTGAGTCCTGCAAAACTCCTTCCACAAAAATTTGTAAAACAGGCCAACCAAACAAGACTGCAGGAGGGGAAAATAAAGGGAAGGTACTTGCACCTTACCCAGACCCCTCCATCTAGTCCTGTTAAAGCAATTTCTTGAGGCTTGGTAAGCTAATGAGTACTTACCTGCCCAAGAATGAAGTGTGAACATAGACCTTTGGAGGTCACAGTCGATGAGGTTGGGCTTGCCTCACCTCAACAAACTGCTCACCTCAGGTAAGAAAGGATGCTGTGAAGCTGGACTTAATGGTATGGTATGCAACCATGAGACCCACCAGGCAGACTTGCATCAGAGCTACATGTTTGAAGACAAAGACTGTAGGAAAGAAGTTAGGAGTGAGTTGAACCAGAAAACTCAACCTGGAGACAGATGACTGGTTCTTTATCTCCCAAGGAAAGTAGGGCCACCTTCACCAGCAGCTCTCCTGTTCCATCTCCCTAAAGCACTTCAGCACTTTCTGTGCAGATCAATTTTACGCCAAGCACAATCTCCAAAATAGAACTGCTCAGCAAAATTAACTTACCAGGTGTTAACACCAAATAGTTATGTTTAATATTTTATTTTTCTCTAGCTGCCACTAGTGTCAATCAAACAAGACCGGTAAGTCTATTCAGAAAAAAATGCAGCCTCTAGCTCTTCACAACTTTCAATTACGATCCCTGAGGTAGCAAAAGTCTGAAGAAATGTTCAAGTCTGCTAATACAAACTAAGTTTTTAATCACAGCCAATCTGCTTTTGACTAAAGTTTTGTCATAGCACCGACAAAACAACCTATAATGCACAGTCCTGTGCAACCAACTCTGTTACTCAGGATTACAGTTCTGAAGTGACCTCTCCTCCCTCCAAAGCATCTAATTCCATCACTTTCTCACCTTTAAAAGCTTATATAGATAGTACCTTGCTAGATCATGCAAAGACCGACACTGCTAAATGTTTCTTCCTCGTTCACTACTGAAAATTTAAAGCAAGTTCATTACTCAACAGAAATTATATCTTTGACTGCTGAAAGAGACTGTTCAATATAAATAATAAAGTGCTATTATCTACTTGATGAAAGGCAGCCTACTAGTACACAGGAGTCTCTCTAATTTCTATGGGCCACAAAAAAATACACCTTGAACCAAGGAGACTATTGCTTGAAAGTCTTTGATGTGTTCAGAGTGTTTTGTTTTTTTCTCCTCAGCAGCATTTTATCAAATTATCATCAAGGATAATAGAGTATCAAAGGGGAAATCTAGCTGTCAAACGACTTCAACAAGCACCTCATTTGATTTTCCATTACGAAAAACAAATCAGGCTTCTATAAAAGAGTTATCTTTGTTTTTTTTTTTAAATTATTAAGACAATTAATATCATATCCTTGTTTCCCCTTAGAGCATGGTAGAAAGAAGCCCCAGAGGCTGACAGCCCTTTGAGCTTCCAGTGCTTCAATGCAACCCAGAAATTCTAATGCTTGCTTTTAAGAGTATCGCAAACTGTATTTGACCTACTTGTTGAAACACTGGTGGCAGACTAAGATTCCAGCATGCTACACTGTCCTTCTAAGTCCAGAGAAAGGCCTTTTAACGGAGTTTCTTGTGCTCAAACACCTTTTTACCACGAGAAAAAGGCCTTCAAATGGGCAGATTTACAGCAGTATCACAGTTTATATATTTTGGAACACTGAGGGCACAACGCTTAGGTTATTATTAGTCATTACAACTGTGCCTGGCACCAACAAGGCATCAACACCCAAATTAGCGTTTAATCAAAAGGTGTGCCAGGTCGCCCAGAGGAATTTCACCAATAACGCCGCGCCTCAGAATCAAAACAAAGTCTTGAAGAAGAAGCTGTTTAATTGCTCTTCACTGGAACAGAATGAATCACTGATGGTGCTTCTCTTCTTTTAACCGGCAGCCTTTTAAAATGGGTGTCAGGTTCAGATGGATGCCACTGAGCGCTAAAC